GGTGTCAAGTTTAAATTGGCAAACACAAAAAAAAATTAAAAAAAAAACAAACTCCATCTTGTTTTTAATTATTACAACCAACCAAATTAGGCTTTAAAAGCAATAGGAAAAATCTAATTTCCCTAAAGATCAAGGTACGCTGAAAAAGTTGTATTTTTTTATGAAAACAGCTATGTCAGTATGGTAAGACATTCAGGCAACCAATCACTCACTCTGTTTTTTTAGCTTAGATTTCCCATGAACAAATATTTGCCCCTTTTCCTGTCTTAGTGATGTAATGGCAATATTGAAAAACATGGCATGGCATCAGTAAAATATGTCAAAAAGAAAAGTATTAAATAGCATTAATTTTAATAAAGATGGACAGACAGGTATTACAGTTTTCGGAAAAAGAAAAGCCCTTCCCTCTCAGTCACCCTGCGATAAGCTTACAGAGGATTCAGAAAGGTAAACATAATTCTAACTGCAAAGGAGACAGAAGGAAAAACATACAGAGCCGGATTTAGAAGCATATATACCTTCCCACTATTACCTTTGATTATGCACGAGAAACCATGCTTTGCATCCAGGTACAGAGATTGAGCTCTCTCGCTGCTACTGCTTATCCCCAACCAGGTAAAATTAGGCAATGAATGGAAAAGTAACAGAATACTGCATATATATACATGAAATTTTGTTAAAATTGGATGTCAGCTTAACCTCGTCATAAATTGCATGTTTTTTCTAAGGTGCTCAACTTTCCTGCTTATTTCTTTTTAATTAAACATATTTTTCTCATCTCTTCCACAGGGGATGGGAGAAGGGGAAGGGAAGAAGTCGTTCTACATTAATTTAAATTATTTCCAAGAGTCACTGTAGCACTGCAGTCTTAATTAATCCACAAAATCCTGCTTTAATTCCAGTATACCTCAGGTGTAAAAAGGCCTCCACAGTTCATTATACTTTTGAAAGACTTATAATTGCATGTTACTCTAAGTTACAGAATAGTTTTAAGCAACTGCTATATGAAAAAATAAATGTATGGATATAAAGACCGGCTCCCATACTCCACTGAACAGTGTTTATAATCCTGGTGTAAACGGTCCTAATCCTACTCTCCTCCTGGAGAGGTTGTGGGGCACAAGAAAAGCAGGTCTGAATCCCTTCATTACTCTTGCTAGAGGTAAAGACGTTAAGTAAGACGGGCAGCAATAAATTGGCTTACGAGTTCATTACTTCTCTGTTTATTCAAATTCATCTCGTTTTTCAGCAGTACTTTTGTACAGTGATACTCCAAACAATGAGTCAAGACTGATATCTGAGTTATTTTAAAATTTAAATTAATCAAATAAAAATCACCAACAATCTGCGTCTAAGACTGCTCATTGCAGTCATCCCACCCCTGCACGTCACCTTTCCTCAGGGCACGGTTCCTCACGCTTCCTCCCTCCTTGTGCTGTTACACTGGTCAGGAGCATAAATACTCTCCAATTAATACCATGTCTTCTCCAATACAAAGAGTAATATTAGAGCAATTGTATGAATCATTAATAATCATGGAAATGCTACTCTAGAAAGCAGCATTTAAAACTCTGATACTTGTTACTAGAAGAGCCCCTCGCTAATAGTGTTTACCGAAATCAGTGTTTTCCCTGTCCGTACCACGTCTGGAATCCTTTCCTTCCAACTTCCACCTATCAAATACCTCAACGGATGTGTCCAAAAGCTGACGTTTCAGACTGACTGGGATTTTTCCAAGGCCAGTGGCAATCTCAGCAGATGGGACTATCAAAGACTACTGAGAAATTACTCAACTGTAACAGTTTTAAAAAAAAAACAAAAAACAACAAACTTGAAGAAAGATATATTAATTCCTTATATTACTTGAAAACAGTAGGCTTAAGCCTTTGCATTCTGAAACAATGAAAATGATTTTTTCTTTAAGAAGCAATAGGGCAGTACTAATTGTTGGTAGGTCCTCATGGGCTAGACAGGCAACTAATTGTGCTTGTACTTTAAAATGATATTTTTTTAAAGTGCTTTATTTTTATTATAAAAACCTTATTCACAGGTTAAGTGTCTAGTTTTCAAAAAATTATTCTATGCAAATCTCTTCAGCAGGTAGGTACTTTTGACAGCATATCAACTCTTTGCAGTCCCTTGGCTTAACTAATTAAATCACATTTTCGAATAGTTTCAATAGAAAGTATGCTTATAATGTGTATGAATAGTATCATTCCTGGTTTTTATACTTTTTAAAGTTTTTCCACACCCTTCTGAAGTACTAACACGAAAAGATATACACTTTAACAATATGCTCTGCACGCACACATTGTTTGGCAGCACCACCGTCTCTCCACAACTACCACTTGACATCCTCTACAAATATTCCACATATTGGATGTTTCTACTCTTCCCGTCATGCAAAGCACCATGGTATTGCCATATTCCTTGTAAACATGGTCTACAATCTTTTTTCTTTCTTTCTTTCTTTTCAGGTTAAACAGCAAGTTTTTATAAATGGTATACAATTTCTATTCTGACAGCATGACTTGGTTTTCAGCAAGACTAATTTTCCACCAGATACCGTCTCCTTCCTAAATACCATTTTTGATTATGGTAAAAATATGTTTAGTTTTACAAATATGTCACATATACCATGTTAGGAAAATATAAGACATGCTGTGCAGACACGTATCCTGGTAAGAACATAAAGACCTAATGCCCTTCACATAACTTTACCTACTAAATGAAAATGAAATGCTTAAAGACACAAGAATACTTTGACTAAATATAACCAGAGGTTTTTCTGGGAAAACCAGAAAAATCTTTTTGCAGGCAAGCAGAGGTTAAAATTCCAGGACTCTCCGTACCACAAGTTTAAAGCTGAAAGTGAGAAGACCCTGAGAGGAGAGAAACAGATCCTCTAAAGAGAAGAGCTCAATGACCGACGCACTGCCATGGCTCTGCAACTCCAACCTCAAGGTCAAGAAAAGTCTCTTACTTTCCCCAGCTGAGGGAGTGTATTTACAAAATCTGATACATGGTAGTTCAACTATCATAAGAAACTGTGCCTTTGCAATTACAGATGAGAAGTGTGGATTTTAACCATCATTTTAATCATAAGGAATTTTCACGCTTTCATATAATTTCTGGGATACTGATATTTAACTTCTGCTGTAACTGGATGATCTTTTCCTCAAGTGTGTTCCTGAACAACGCACAACATGGCACTACAACTCTTCTAAGCCCATGCTGGAGGCACAATCTTCCCCACCTACAACTGGAGTACATTTCAGTATGGAATCTTAGCTAAAAATAACATTAGCCATTTATATTTGATGTTTCGATGAAAAAATGTCTATTTAAGGTACAGTCTGTTGTCTCTAAGATGTCAACAGTAAGTAATATTATTTGAAGTGGAATGTTGTATTTAATATTTAATAGCATGTATAATGAAACTAGTGGAAAAATATTGAAATTGCAGAAAAGTATGACATGTCCACCATCATTCAACTGTTATTTCAGATTAGTGATGGATGTTATGTGCATACCTAAGAATACATTTCATGACTTACCTTTACCAAGAAATTATACAATATTCAGATATTTCAATAGACTGTATATTATAGAGAATGAACTTAAATTTCCACTTGTTTGTGTCAATATGACCCAAAAAACTCCCAGGAAGTAATCATTTACGTCAACATAAAGAGGATGCTTGATGAAAATCAAGTTTGGAATGATGCAGTCAGTTCTTTTTCAGAAGCTACTGTAGTAATGATTTAGCTTATAGCCAGAAATGGCATTTTTTATTCTACCAGCCAAGTTTCAGCTTCATCAAAAATGAAATCATGCTACCAATTTGATTATCCAAATAAGGACCTTTTTTCCCCAAAGAGATGAGTCAGAGGTCAAAAGAAGTTGAAAAACTTACATGACTTTCTGATCATTTTTAATATACAAAGACCACAAAACAATAGCCTTTTAAGATAAAATATAAACCCAAAGCTAAATCCAATTCATATTAACTCACTAAAAATTAAATTGTTACGTGTTTTAATACCTAGTATAGCACCCCAATGGGAAACTGGTGTTACAGTGGGCCTTTTATAAAAATAATTCAATACCTACCTAAGTAGCACCTGTAAATAATAATAAAGGAGAATATTTCGTAAGACCCACAATACCCCTTTTTTGATAAGTTAATTATAATTCTATCAACACATAAAATTTGTACTGGATCTATGCACAGACGTTAGGGCCACAAGAAGAAATCCAAATGATGAAGAAATCCAAATGATCAAGTAAAAATCTTCTGCCTGTTTGCTCGTAGTGTCCAAGTGCACACAGTGGGCTTTTAAGTATCTTTTTTTTTTTCCTATGATGCATTTATTATTTTGAATCCATAAACAGTAAATAACCAGGTGATCACTCAGATGTAAATATTTACTTATTTTTAAAAAAAGGTAAGAGCCCATTTACAAATTCCTGGATAGAACATTAGATACTGATATCAGTTTATTTAAGAACTAGCTCTTGTCCCACAGATATTCATGCAACAAATGAGATACAGAGACTTATATATCATGAATTCTTAGGTTAGTTTAAACTTACTCTAGACTAAACCAGCCACCTGACTCAGCTGTGTACAATCCAGCCCATAAAAATATGTCTGTCTCAGTCATCTACTGAATGGCAGTACTGTTAATGGCAGGGTTTTCAATTTTATCTAAAGGAAATACTGTAAATACATCACACCTGTAATTTTTATAAACTTTGGTTTTGGTGTTCTTTTAAAAAAAGATATCTTTTTTGTACAATTAGTGGCACCCACATATCTACATTTATTCTACCTTTTGATCTACGCTACATCCTAATTAAAAAGAAGCACAAGAGTAAGAAAAATATTTTCTAACAGCCTTCACTTTATTTTTTCAGTTTGATCCTATCTGTCCCATTAGCCTTCTGGAAAACAAAATTTAAGGAAATTACACAATTATATAATCATATGTTTTGTTTCAACGTTTAATTGCAGCTCTTAGCTTGGCCGACCTTCCTCTTGGGTTTGTTTGAATATCCTTGGCCTGGGGTGTGAGAACTTTTTTCTGTATAAAGATCCACTTTGAGTTGGATTTTCCATGGGGAGGTTCTCGTGTATCTTCCTCTTTGGAGCAATTTTTCCGAGCCTCTCTTATCTTCTGCCTTGAGCCAAGATTGTACTTCTCTGTCATGTCTATTCCATGAAGAAAACGTTTGATAATACGATCTTCTAGTGAATGAAAGGAGAGGGCTACAAGGTGACCCCCAGGTTTTAGAAACTTCTCGGCCGTCTTCAGCCCTATAAAGAGTTCATGGAGCTCGTCATTTACAAATATTCGCAGCCCTTGGAAAGTTTTGGTAGCGACATGCGTAGGTCTCTGAAGCAAGTCTCTTCGTGCATACAATGCTGATGCTGGAAAAGCACCTGTCAAATTTTAAAAGGTGTATGTTAATACCTTATTATTTCCTCATTGCTATCCTGACATTAATCCACTCACGCAGGGTGAGTTTACAGGAAAGCATACTTACAACTGAACCCTGAATGGTGAGCTTCTTTCTTTATAATATATCTCTATTTTCTGCTTTGAATTCACATTTCTGAAAGTAAACCCTATCAAACTGGTCTGGCTTGCAGTTGGGTGTTGGGTTTTTTCCTTAGTATCTTTCACAGAAATTCCTTCCTCAAATGCTTCACAAAATTAAAATGTAGAATGATGGCTAAATCCAAAATAAGGAAAAAATGAGGATGGGCGAGATAAGTCCTACACCTTACAGCTCAGTGTAGTCAGTGTCAGTTCAGTATTTGTGGTGACTTGCTTTTTGCTTTTAAGGAAAAAAAAAAAGTTAATATATGACGGACACACAATTTTAACTGTTTCTAGATAATTACGTATTTCTTCATAGCCATCATGAAGACAATGTCTACCTGGTGATAAGTATCTTTCAATGAATTACATAAAGCTTAAAAGAGGCATCCATGTTTGGGGATAAAAATTGTTTAATATGACACCTGTATTTCCTCAAATGTTCGCAAAAATACCTTGAGAAATCTAAACAATGCAGCCGACACTGTTGCTTTTTCACGTGCCTAAACAGTAGAACGTGTCAAGGTATGAGTTTGCTGCACGAAAAATCACCAGATTAAGTAATTTTTACTAGATGCACAAAACTCCCTCCTCTTTTCTCCAAAATTCTTATGAGTTACACAAGTCTCCGTACAGACTGAAATTTTAATAGAAACTTTAATATATCTTTATTTAATGTATTTTAGGCTTGAATCTTCATTATCTGAGTACAGAGCAAAAAGCCAGAGAAGCCAGATTTGATGGATCAAAGGGACTAAAGTGCAATAGTCTTACAAGTTCTGTGAAACCTGAGTAAACTTATGATCTATTATGTAAGTGAGCGCAGGAGTCTGGCGAAGATAAATGGAATGAATAATGCTAGCGCATAACTGGAAAGAATTATTTTTCCAAACAAGAGGGACCGTTAGAGATAAGGCAATACAGCTGGTATGTATGTATTGAAATGCCTTGATTCCATGCCACTGCTAAACTACAGCGTAATAAAGCAATGGGTTTGAAGTCAATGCAGCTCATAATCAAGTAATTGATATTCTACATAGTAGAGTAAAAGAAGGGAACATGGTACCTGTGAAACAACTTGTCTAAATTCACATTTACACAGATGATTAAAGAAAATTTAATGGAGATATCATAATCTAGTGTGTTGGCACAAAATAGTTTATTAGTGGAATTCTTAGGAGTCTTAAAGGTATGGTTTTATTTATGTCAGAAACTGTAAGTGTTCAGCATCACAAACAGACAAGTGATCATCAGTGTTCAGCAAAGGGAGAGGCCAATAATGGGATTTAAAAATTCAATCATTATTAACAAAGTTGTTATCATGTATGTGATGTGTCTAAGATGCGTTTCTGCATTCTGCATTTTCCCAACTACTTTCCCTGCCGCCTCCTCCGACTGTAACGCTAACAGTGCCTGCAACCGTGACAGGCTAACCGTGCCTGAATTACCTGAAGAAACCCACCGTAGCCATGGCTCTTTCCTGTCCCCACAGTCTGAATTCTTCAAGACAAAGTGGCAACAGGATCAACTTCTCCCAACACAAACTACTGCACAGGAATTTGTGGCTTTAAACTCTGTTTCACGAAACACAGTAAACAGATATAACCTGTGGGAACTAGGCTCCTCCATCACCTAAAAACTACAGAAAAAGTTACACTAGCTAGCTAATACGATTTCTGTCTTTGAGAGCACCATGGTCTATACTTTCTATAAATCATAAAAAAAATATATATATATACACACCCTCATTGTAGGAGTCACAAAGCGTGTTTTGATGAAAGAGCTGAACTAAAAGGAGAACTCAAAAGCTCAGAAGGTAAGATGTCCCGAGAAACCAACTGACACTGAGCTTGTACTACCTGGCACAGTATCCGGTTCCATATTTCTTTACCTACCTGAAAATAGAATCTTTGAAATGGAATCCTTAAAACAGCCACTGACTACCATTTGTGTGTCAACTAACAGCTACAAACACCAGTCGTATGCTCAGAACTCTTGCATAGTTATTAAATGAAACAGCAGGGTTTAAAATCAGCATGTAATGTATCCAAAAATATCACAGGGCATGCTCGTTCCCATAGCGTGCACTAAGTGACTAAATATACATCGCTTTGTATTCTCCACAAGACCTGTCTTAGGTTTCCGTCATAACAGAATTTTTATTCAATGGAACTTGAAGTTGACACATCAGATACCTGGGTATTTTTGAATTGAATTACAAAAACCACGGTCTCTTGAATAAGAACATACTTGTTTTGTAAAAGATTTCACACAACAAACCTATCTCTTTTTCTAAGTCTACATTTAAAATCATTGAAAATATACCTCACTCTTACCTTTCCCCTTCCAAACCCAAGCCCGCTGCTGCCACGTTCACTTTCCTGAAAACAGTTGTAACTGGAATGAAAAAACACTGTTCCCTTACAAAATATTAGCTACTAACAAGCTAGTGGGTTAGAAAACAGGGTGCATTTTTTCAATTCTACCTGTATTGTTCTATTACACACTTCCAGCAGTACCTCCTTTCTCCTGCCACTTGCTGAAAAATTTACAGCTCAGGCTTCAAGAGAACCAATTTTATACGTTCAGTTTTGGGCTGTTACCACCCAGAGTTGGTGTTCACCTCTCAAAGCAGATCCAGAATTTTTAACTATCATATTTTAGCAGCGTAAGTATTTTCTAAAAATACTGCTGGTTTTCTGGGGATGATCCATTTCTGATATTCAAAGAGTATTCCAGCTTCCAAAAGTATCACAGATAAAAATGAAGCCAACCCACAAGAGTACAGCATGTAATTTAGGTACAAAACTGAGCGTGCTTCTTGACTGGGACCTAACCATAAAAACAGAAGCCTAGAATGAGATCCTTTATTTAAATTTCCACAGTCAATCTCACTGGAATTTCAGTAAAATGCTGGAAGATTTATCTTATATGTCACCGAAACATCTTTTATGTTTCTGAACGAACAAGGATGATAAAAAGATCTACTTTAAAACTGGTTTTGCAAAAAATCTAAATACAATAGAAGAGTACAGTTTGGGTTGGAAGGGACCTTTAAAGGTCATCTAGTCCAACCCCCCTGCAATGAGCAGGGAGTTCTTCAACCAGATCAGGTTGCTCAGAGCCCCGTCCAACCTGACATTGAAAGTTTCCAGGGATGGGGCGACCGCCACCTCTCTGGGCAACCTGGACCAGTGCTTCACCACCCTCAGCATAAAAGAATTCTTCCTTATATCTAGTCTAGATCTATCCTCTTAGTTCAAAACCATTACCTCTTGTCCTACCACTCCAGGTCTTACTAAAAAGTCTGTCCCCATCTTCTCATAAGCCCCCTTTAAGTTCTGAAAGGCCACAATAAGGTCTCCCCAGAGCCTTCTCTTCTCCAGGCTGAAGAACCCCAACTCTCTTAGCTAGTCCTCATAGCAGAGGGGCTCCAGCCCTCGGATCATTTTTGTGGTCCTCCTCTGGATCCACGACCAGGACACTAACAGGTCTTTGGAAGGTTCTTCCATTTGTCCTGCCATAGTTGTTACCTGCAGTGTCTTCCTGCAATAACCTCCTATGACGATTAACTGTGTCATTAATTTTATTACTGTGAATTAATTTATCACACACTGAAGAAAAATAAATTAAAAACCAGATATATTCTGTAAGTATAACACAACCTTATTCTGTAAGCATAATACCACCTTACCTGCCTCAGTTGAACACAGGCAAACAGCACTGCAGGTCATATATAACCGTACAGAATACTAATATTCAGGAAACTGGTAAAGAAACACCATCGCTTTGCAGCTATATGCAACCAAACTCCTCCAAACCAAAACTGAAATCAAACCACTTCCAAGTTCAAGGATTTAACTGGTCTATCTTCAGAGACTGGGATTAACTAATGAATGTAATCTGTGGTAGTGACTTGTGTCACACTAGCCTTCATCTTTTTTAGTAAAGGCAGTAGATTTTGATCTATGTTCCAGGGGTGAAAAGGTTTCTTACCCAACCCTTAGTCCTCAGGTACAGTTAAATAAAAACCTACTTGAGCTATCTGCTAAGGCACAAAATCTCTCACCCAGCCCCCTCCAATTACCATGACACGAACAGAAAATCCTTCCCTGTACCAGGTGGCACAATGTACAAAAATATTAAAAAAATCTGTATGGGAAGCTTGTAAAATGAATTTCATTCATAAAAACACCACACTTCTGGCTAGATGACTGGTTTGAAATCCCAGTGAGAGAAATTACCATTTTTAGTTTTGGGATGCCCTGATGCTACTTAGACTTTAAAAAATCTAATAGATTCGCATACTGAAATGCATTGAAATTTTAAAGCTTGTGAATGGAATTAGCAACGTGTTGTGCCTGTCAATATGAACTATTAAAGTCCCCAGAGTGTATGAGAGTGGGAGAGTTTAAAAATTAATTCAGATAGTGCACCTGTTTGCAGGAATCCGTCTGTTGAATTAGCATTGCATTTAATAAGTTGCTGTGACGCAACTAATGTCCTTTTGTCTAGGCTCCCTCAGTACAGTTTTAATTCTCACCCATCTGAAATTCAGGCAATATTACAAATTCCAAACTGATAATTAAAGTCTATAAATGTGAACCAATCTGAATGAGACTGGCTTTACCCATTAAAGTTCTTTTTAAACTTCCAATTTCTGTAATACCTCATCATCAATTCCTTTCAAGTTAAATCTGAATGATTACATGATCTCAAAATGATCTGTTAATAGATTATGTATCTAAATAACACTGAGAAAAATGAAATTTTGAACAAAAACTAATAGGTAACAAGGTATGTTACCCACTGAAAAGAAAAAAATAGATCATCAGCTGTACAGAAAAAGCATATTAAAATTACATCCTAAAAATGTCACTATTTTTAACCAGTTTTCCTGCACATCGAATTAAACCTATTGTTTCTAAACAACTCAATGAAATTCAGCAAAAGCCATTAGGAAGTGCTTCTTAAGCGACTTCCACATATCTATTCACAGCCCTTCAGTTGAGAACTACTGATCTTTAGTATTTACAGAGCGTTCATCATTGCAGATAGCTGTGTGAAAATTATAAACAGTGAGTGGAGTTTGATTTTGCTGCACAAATAGATGATGTTCACATGACTGAATAGAAAACTCCTCCTTTTTCCCTATGCAAACTGCAGTCTCCACAGCTCTCAGAGATCTCCTTATTTAAATGGCTCAGAATCCTTTTAGACAACATTTAGAAAAACAAAACAAAAAAAGCCAAACTTTTTTTAGGTTTTTTTTGTACGAACTTATTCATTGGCACAGTATGTAGAGAGATAACTTTCAGGCTCTATGTTAAGAAATAGAATTATTTTCTTGAATTGGAACAAAGGCGAGCAAGAAATCACTTGGATACCTGAGTTAGTCCCAAGCTCTTGTGGGCAATCTTGACATACAAATCTATTTATATTTTTTTTTCCAGCTATACCTTAAAATTATAACTTTTGCTAATACGAATTTTAGAAATGTCTGATTGTTCTGTAACTATTGTGGAGCTGGGTGGGGGTTTTTGTTTGGTTGTTTTTTTTAATTACATCCTTCAGTCTTATGTCCCAACCAATTAGCAACAGCAACACATGCTCTAACCTTTTGGGGAGTGGTAGGAAAGACCAGAATTTTAGCATTCTATAAATTAAAATGAAATTTTCCAATTTCAGGCTAGTTCAAAACTCGATTCACTGGGATTCTGGTTATCAGCTGGACCTTAACGCAAAACTTTGGAGTTCTAGAAACTCTGAAGCCACAGTAATGTATAACGTGAAAGAAATACGGACTATATGTGAATTCTCAGACACCGACACCAGCAGAGAAAGAGACATAAATACCCAGCATCATTGCCTAGATTTTTTGCTTATTTTCTGGCTTCTATACTAGGCAAAAAAATTGATCCTGTTCTGGAGAAATAATCATGCTTGTATAGAGCCTGCAAAATCTAAAATGCAAGAGTTTATTATTCTAATTCATATTTATTTTTTAAAGGACCTGATATTTAACTAATAGGTCATAGATTTCACTCTGGTAAAGTCCTGAACTAGAGGTTTTTTTGCACTGTGCCACCAGAAGGATCCTGTAGCTGTGGTCTCTGGCACTTTAGCTCTGGCTTACCTCAATAACTTCATGGATATCATTTTGCATAAGTATATATATTGATGATAGGTGATAAATTAAACAAAACATATTATAGTTATTAATCATGCAGAAATTTTCTTAAGGTATAATCAGTTCAAAACGTAGTAGGATCCACCATTGTGCTTCTTTACCGAAGGAATCAAATTAAAATTGGAAGAAGTTCTGCCCAAACAGGGATAAGCGTAACTGTCCTAAAATTGTTTTAACTTCTTGCATAGTTAAAGAAAAAAACCCAATCCAACAAAAAAAGCACACAAAACATACATATTTACTGTCTTGGCAGATATGTGGAGGATTCATTGTCTTTGGCATGTATACTATCTGACACATACCTGATTCACGTATCAAGCTGCTCTTCAAATATAGCAAAGAGTTTAAAGTGAGAACAAAAAATCCTTCTCATTGTCACAGAAAGTGACCATTAAGTGATGACTCACATGCAACACGCTAAACATGAAGGGATCTTCCATCACTGTCATTTATGCACTAGTATTTTTATTTTCTTAGTTCAAGCTAGTGCACAAAATTAGTTCAGAAGCGAGTTGCTTGTTTACAGCCTGTAACAGATTACACCTTTAGCACAGCAATACAGTTGCTTCCATCTCAATAATGGTACACTGTTCTAATCAACAGTTTTTCAAAAAGCATGAGATACATGTGACAAAAAGTAAATTATTACTTCGTGATATTGATGACAATGACTATATTAAAAATGTAACTTCAAGTTTTGTAAAAGACTCGGTCTTTATTCCTCTTGGGTTTTTTAAGATTGCTTGCTCCTCACATTCACTGTATTTACAGCAGGAGCTTACAACAGCCGTGTCTTCAGGCCCTTTAATCATATCAGTTAAACCCACGGCCTCGGTTGACTGGATAGTTTGCTCCGGAATCCTGACTTAGACAAATCCAAACCATTTAATTTGTTTGTTGGCGATTAATAGTAAGGCACACAAATGTTTACGACTACACAATTTTTTAAAAAGTCTTCAGGATACAGATAAAACTTTTAACACGATTCTTTAGCAAATGTTAAATTTTGATAGTCATTTTAAAGATCTGTATTCAAAGGAGTCAGCAGTTTAGACTTATTTTGACAAGACCCAGTAATTTTCATTTCTTGGTTAAAAAAAATAAAAATATCCCAACATTACATGTTATAATGTTAATGAACAGGATTTGTGTTTTACATTTTTCCTTGAAAACTTTTACTTGAGAACACAAACATGAAGGTTCTCGATATGAGCACAGTTCCCACCTAACTGCATTTCGTTCAAGTTGTTTACAGTGAAGAGCAAGTAAGATGAAGCGTTTCAATAGTCGCTTCAGGCTGATCTAGTTGGCATTCACAAGGTGAAGCAAGCTACGTATTGCATTGTTTTTTGCTCCCTGGTTCTTTAAGCAGACAGAAACAACCTGATTTCATTCATAATTGGAAACTGCCATGGTACTTCCCCTCAAAATACTAAAATGTAGAAATTTAAAACTAAGAGAGGTATATGACGTATCTGATATTTGAAGGCTTATCAATAGCTGGGATAAAGAATTCCCTGGGCTGCTGTCATTCTGTGTTTCAACTTGGTTGGCAAAATGATAAATCACTTCATGTAAAATCTATTAAACTAATCGTCACACTACAATATAAAAAGCGGGAGCTTAAAAAAAAGAAAAAAAAAAAAAAAAAAAAAAAAAGAGCGAGCTGACATCAGAGCAGAATAGGCAGGATTAGATCCTGCATGATTTCAAGTACAAATAGATCCCTCTGGGACTTTGGGGATTAGTATTTTTTCTCCTCAGCCACTGTGAAGAATTAATGAGGGTACCTGCAACAATGCTTGCAAGCTGCTGAGTTCTGGTGATGGGGTATATGCTGCGTGCCTGAACGATGGCTGAAGCGATTTTCTTGGCGTGCCTCTCCTCCCCGTACGTTCTCAGGATGGACGCAAGCGCCTGTTGATCTAAAGCATTCACAACATCAGCAGCAGTGGGCATGTCAGGGTACCTACGCACAAGAAGAGCCAATTAGTTCACTGACGTCAGTTTTCATTGACAAGAGGTGAAGCTTCATAGCATTGAGACATAAAGTCAAACACACACACTGCATACAAGTGCCTTTGAGGTTTTCAAATAAGAGACAGCAACCCTATGAAAACAGATTGCACCTTTTAAATCCTTTGCCTTGCTACTTTAAATGGAGTCTGTTCCTTAACATCAATTAGAACAGCTAAAACTTCCAACTATTATCATAAGCTATGCTTAATGAGTTGACAAGAATAAATACATTTCGGTATCATGTTAAAGTGGAAATGCTGTGTGACTTTTTATTTAGACAGCTTTAGAATATAAACTTGCCCCTTACGGGTTCATTTTAGTCACCCTGCATTATACGTTGTTTTCTACTCAGAACTGATCTCAAGGATCTTTTCTTTCACATCTCCCGCTATGAAAACAATTGCTCATGAAAATAATTTGACTTTACTTTTCACTAAAAGGCATAAGAATTTATATCCAAGTACTGTTTTGAGAGAACAGAAATGACATAATATTGCAAATGGCAGGAATTAGAATATAAACACTATAAGCCAAACATTATTTTTTTTTAAAATCTCTGTCACTTCACTATTGAAATAGTTCAAGGTATTTTATGAACATCATACATGGGTTTAATATTCGGAGAAAACATACAACCTACTTAATAAATTCTCTTCTATAAATACATGAATGTGCAGAATATTTTTCAGGCATTTATTACTCTCCTGCAGTATCTTACAAAAGATAACAAAACTTAGAAATCAGAGGCAAGTAGTATCATAGCAACAACTGTAGCGTAAGGCTTCTGTTATGCCACAGGTATCCTTTGTTCTTGTGCTCCTGTTCCATGTATGTATTCTCATGATGCAAAAACAAGCCTGGAGTTCAGATTCTTGAAATCTGAGGGCTAAATCCCTGGAGGATCACGTGAGCTTTTTACACAAAACTGGAAAAAGCAATTATCATGATATTTCCCGTGTTAAGACTTAACATTAATGTGTTAAGATAATTCCCTAGAAACTGAGGCTTCCCATTGCCTCTGTGTGAGCAATGAAAGATCAAATGACATTTCTTAAGACTACAGGTTCATCAAAACACAAAGCAAAGATGTTCATTCTCCCAGTAATGCATTATGCAATTAATGCCATTATCTTTAAACCAGACATCATGTTCATGTAAAAGGCACAATGCTACAGAACCGTATCGGGTTGTCTGAAGAGGAAAACTGCTACATAAGTAGAAATTAATCATTCCACCATTGATTTGCATGCTCTTGAACGTATTAAACACCAATTCTAATAATTTAAATAGAGGTGATTTATTTAGTAATTGTTAATTTGACAACTAAGTAAGCCTGATGTGCCTCCTACACAATGTGAAAGGAAGCTTATAATATTGCTAAGCAAAGCTTAGAATAAATCCATGGGCATGTAAGACAACATTATACTAGTGTGTTAAAAGCAATGTTGCTATCTGATTTCAATTGGAGATATCATGGATGGGATTTTATTTATTTATTTTATGTTACTTTTCTTCTAGAGAGAAGTAACTGGGTCAGATGGCCATTGCAGTAAAAGAGGGAGGTTGCTCCTTTCCTGAGGGAGCAACTGAAGGTTCCACAAATAGTAAGTGCGGCACAAAAGGAAAGGGGCTGCAGTGAGGGTTTGTGAGCCTGTAGATCAAGTACAGTCTGAGAAACCACGGAAATGAAAGGGAGAAGACAGGCCTCTGAAAGCAAGATGCCTCTGTAACTCTATACCATACACTCCAAAACTGTAGAATTTTAATGCTATAGTTAACAAAAATGTTACTGGTTTAATTACTCATCACTGGAACCTTCCTCTTATTTCCAAGAAGGAAAAGACGATAACCAGAGTTCTAAGTATTAAGATCGAAAAAGGCTTTGTGGCAAAAGAAAGACAGTATAGTCGTGAAAACTTAGATGCGGTTTGATGATGAGAATTCTTCAACTTAAGGGAAAATAAAATGCACGGGGGTTACTGAGCACACAGTCTTTGAGTTTCCAGGAGAAATTTTATTAACAGGTACCTGTCACTATCCATCCTCATGTCCAAGGGTCCGTCCTTCTGCAGGGAAAAACCTCTTTCGGGTGTATCAAACTGCATAGAAGAACAGCCAGCGTCCAAGAGAACTCCATCTAGAGTCCCCGGCTCAACTCCAGAGGAGATTAACAAAGCCTCTGACTGGCTGAATGGTCCTAGTAGAGCTTGAATCTGGTTCCTGCAAGAAAAGAACAAATAAATAACCTCATTTTTAAGTATAACAGTGCAGTGTCTTCCCCTTGTATAGCAGGAATTACATAGTAGTTCTCATTGTCTCATCAATAGCACTACAGCTATTCCCAAAGTAATAGTTTAAGAGAACTAGTCCAACCCACCCATCAGCGCCGACTTCTGCAACTCTTCACTCCCTTCCTACTTGATCTCAAGGAAAAATGGAAACCCGACTAAAACTTCATTTTTTCAACGCGCAGGAACTAAAAGGGACACCTTCCACATTCAATGGGAACGCCCTGACCAGCAGGACAGGCACAGCGCTGAGCAGCGCCCTTAGTCGAGGGAGACCAAAGTGCAGGAAAGAACGAACAGTTCTCGGACCCAGAGGAGAAGCAGACAAGATGGAACACGACCGCACAGCCTTGTGGTTACTATTGACCAGCCAGGAAAAAAAATCCTGGGTTCCTGCCACGGGACAAACACTTTTTTTCCCTTGGTGTTTTGTGGGGGTTTTTGTAGTGGTATTTGTTGTTTCAAAAACAATTGGGCGAAATTAGGTGCGCTGGATCATAAACAGATAAAATACTTCAGTGTAGTTTCGATTCAGGCACCCAGTCACCGGGGAGAGCAGAGCTTCACATGCATCTTTGTGCTTAACGTTCTTCTTTCTTAGATTTAAGGTGGTTCTTGCTTAATATTCCTGTAGTGGGAAGGGAAAGTGGCATGGCAAGGGAGAAGATGACACATCTCTGAAGCGCCCAACTTTCTTGGGCATCTACACCAGGACTTTTGATTCTTGTTTATATATAAGGTGACTTACAATCAAATATTTTATCTCTCTGTCAAAACGTCAGTGAATTTCACAAAGATTTAAAAAGATTAATCAATGTGTTGCTGCGATTTTAAGCAGTACCTGCAAACACAATATATTTCTGCCCCTAACAAGCAGCTACTGCCTCCACATCTGAGTTTTGATGACGGTCGGGATAACTGTTTGTCAGCACCACAGATTAGCATTCAAACTACCACCAGGTCCACCAGCTTAACTCACATAATTTTGTCTAAGTTACATGGGCAGCAGGGAATGGACAGAGACAGTAACTCCTTTAACTGTTTCAGCTACAAAAGGACAGTTGCCCATATATCTTTTGACACTTCGGTGTTACAGTAATTTTGGAAAAAAAAAACCAAAAACAAACCCAACCAAAAACAAAACCCCGAAAAGCACACGAACTTTTTCAAAATATAATCTTAAGGCTAATCCTTCTTTCAGGTCAGTTTAACATCAGGACAACTGGCACCATGACGTAATTTAGTCAACTCCAGTGGCGAGAGTTTTTAAAAAAATGTATGACCAGGGAATCGGAACCTTTTCTGCGCCCATCCAACCGGAGCGAGAAAATGCTACCAAGGGGGGGAGAGAAACAGGGGGCAAGAAAAAGCTCTGTTAAAAGGAAGACGTTATGAATGCAACCATATGGAAGAACGTTCAGTTACACAATGGTATACTCATTAGAGCAGAATGAATCAACCTATTTAACATAGCACAAAACCCAGGAAATACCTTGAATGAACAGATTTCATGAGGGATACCGTGATCACACATATGAGTTTCTGAATTGAATACTATCCAGCATATGATTAAATTCAACTATTCAGCTTAATAAGAACTGACAGTTCCTGAAAAGCACAACGATCCACTTAACTTAAACCAATTTAAGCTATATGGTTATAGCTTTGAGATTATATTTCCCCTCAATATAATGAGAGGAATTTTCTTGAAAATCTGTACCACTTTGTCCAACTGGACAGTGTTTCTAACTGTACAATTGTGCAAACAAATTGACTTTACAATTCTGTATGTGGGAGATGAAAATAAATGAGATCTGGAAAAAATTACAAATTGCCATCGCCTATTTCCCCCAGCAGACAGCAATCCATGCTGTGAACCAGAGCTGTGCTGTGCTACAGTATTTTGAACTGTATTTATAACTCGCTAGAGATTCGATTATGTTTCTTTAAACAAGTCATAAGTATGTGGGATGGCTGAGATGTTTGGGACAGCGGCCTTTGATTTGTGGCCCGCCAACCTTCTGCGATTAGGAAAAGGTAATTAAAAAAGAAGTATACTTGAAGTAAGTTGAAATTTGCTCTTTAGTAGAGAGATGCTTCAGCTGGAAAATGTTTTGGAGCTTGCAAATAAAAAGAGATTGAAGAAGAATTAGATTGACATTTTGATGTCAGCCTTTCAGCTCTGTGAAATTATAGCCTCTGTATAGAACCCGTTTGATATACACTGCATTTTGTGTATCAATAGTGGACATAATAGGTGTCTTGGTGAATATAAATCTTGACTAAAAATAGATGCATTTCATGAGATTATAATGATTATATTAAAATGTTCGGGCCAGTTCTCTGAATTCCTGTTTCTTTGCGGACTAGGAGAAACAATTTTAAGCAGCTTTGGCGTCTCATACATTTCAATTAATCAAACCAAGTACACAGCTAGGAAAGATTTATTATCTTGTGAAAGGAAATAAAAATATCAACACTTCTTTTGATAGGATAGTTACAATGATGATAGTGACGATAAGGACTAATCTATTAGATTATAATCATGACAGTTATTTAAAGAAAAATATTTTATCAAGCATTCAGAAGTATTTATTAGAACATAATAAAAGCCTTCCCTTGTCTACTATTCTTTGCACCTATGTTCAAATAATAACTGCCTATAACACACATGATTTTCACTAAAAATGCTTAATTTAGCCTCAGTCCCTTCTGCCTTCAGACGGTTGTTTATATCATCTGTAAATCTTGGTTCCAGAATAACCTCAAATAAATAATAAAATCTGTGTACCTTACGCTAAAAGTGCTTATTTCCGACAGTCACATGCCTTCTGCTTTCCCCAGGTATGCAGAAACCCTTTTTGCTTTCTTTTTCAGTGTTCCAATGTTTTCTTTGGGCATTAGAAGTTTTATGTTCCATGACCATACTTGTCTAGTGTGAAAATCTGTCTATTACCCTTTCTGTCTTAACATATTGCAAAAACAGCGCTTAGCGGAAAAGGCAGGAAAGCTAAACCAGGGAACATCCCTAAACACCAAATAAAACAGCCAAGCTTATAGCTCAAAAAAGCCTGAGGAGAGAGAGCATATCAAAACATTACAGACCGAGACTGAATGAGGGTTTTAGGTGGGTCTTGGGGATACCATCAAAAGCTGTTGAGACTACAAAGGGTCACATAGAGAATATTTTAATCATTTTAGGTGATCTTTGAAGGTTACAATCTAACTAAATCATATTGTCTTGCTTAAGAGAAAATATTTTAAAATATTAATTGAACAGCACTTTACATATTCGGAGCATTTTAGAAACATAAAATGACTATGAAGAGCTGAAATAACTTTTTTAAATTATTTTTTAAATTGGCTAGATTGTCCATGTTCCCAGTGTTCTTTTAAAATCTTGAATACTTTTTTCTTGGAGAATGTTGGGAACTTAATCGATTTTATTGCGCAATAACCTCAAGAGTTTGCAGAATTCTTGTACTGATTGCTACCGTGGGAAAATAACAGGGAACCTTGGGTTCAGAATCATTTGCTCTAGTCATAACACAGTATTTCATTATATTATTCTATGACACATAGCATAGTAATTCTGATAGACGGCACTGGATCCACACTTCTCAATTATATGAAAGAGCAGAACGAGAAAGAGTTCGAAGTTTCCTAATGTATTCCAGGCTCTTCTGCTTTCAGTTAACCTCTGGTATTCTACAACGCTTTATAAAAATATTTCCTTTTTATTTTACTCAGCTGAGAGGGATGCACACAGGAAAAAAGAAAAGCATGGATATAGCTTCTACAAAATAAACAGAGAAAAATCTTTTCCCTTATCTAGTTTCTCTCCATTGTCACAGAGGCTGCTGTGACATCAATCATTCGAGTAATTTCACAGAAAAGTACGATTATGCTTTCACGGTGCTTCAGCATTTTTTATGCGCATATAACAATACTTGCTCTTGATCTTTCACCATTGCTCCCCTTACAACTTCTATGTATGAATACATAGAAAGTCAGGAAGCGATGATCCCTTGTCAACAGCGAAAACTACCTTCTACTTAAGCAGAATAAATGGTTTCTTTGAGAGAACTGGAAAACAAAAGTTTTTTCAGCTAACTCTTGCCAATGCACATCAAACGAGGAGACCAATTGGAGCTTTGTTTGATTCAGTAACTCTGCTGAGACTGCCAACAGGGGTGCCAATTAGCACCAGCTGTAATGAGGATATTGGTACAGACCTGGTTTGATGTCATTGACTCACTTCACCCAGGTCACTCGGCAGCTTCAGATAGCCGTGACTTTCACTCACCACTTTGCTGGGCCACGCACACCTAGAAGCAAACCACAAAGTACTCCAGTCATAAATTCCTGGAACTTTCAGCATCCAACCTATAAGCGTTACTCTGCCTCAGTGCAATACCCCTCTCAAAAAACATATCTGAATATTCTGCAAAAAATTTTAAATGACCTTGGACAAATGGGAAATTGGCACGGTTTTCATGTTCGCAAAGAAAAAAAAAAAGTGACATCTATCAACTTATAAACAAACCTTGTCATTACATTCCTAGCTTTATAAAAAATTAATTGTAGCTCTGGAAAAAGCCCATATATCTATTTGAGAATTGAAAGTTCAGTTTAGGCTGGGTTTTGTGCTACAAAATTATGAAACCAAATCTCAGCCACTGATTAACAAAGACACGAAACCAGAAAGAAGTGTATATGAAAAGCAATTTCCACAGAACCAAGTAAGTTCATATTTTCAAATTTGAGAGCTACAATAACGATTTTATTCTGTGCGTTAAGATCACAGAAATATCATTTGAAGTATTTAAGAACTGGTAAACATTTACATACCACGTACTCCCGCTTCAGAGTAGGGAACACTTGAAAGGTATGCACACATTCTAAAAAGCCAAATACTTCTTTCCATGTAAC